AGGCAGAAGATGCAACACCAGCGAGTGCAGGTTACTCTCAGTGCATAGATCATCCTCATCTACCAAATGTACATTCATAGAGCAGAAAAATTTAGAGAAAACTTCATGTAATTTGAGGCATGTAATACACTGCATGAATCTTATGTTTACAGACAGACACAGAGTAGAAATGGATGCTGTTAAAGCAGTGCTTCTATTCACGTTTTTGCAAACACTTTTGGCCTGCTTGCATTCACATTCAGAAATGTTCTATTATGTGGAGGAGCAGAGAAGGATCGCTCTGTCGGTCCAAACAAACGATCCTCACGCCATTATCAAAGTAATTTGTGCCAGGATTGGCTAGCATGGCTTTATGCTTCTCAGTACACTGGCCCCTATAGGTTTCGCGTGCTCACAGCAGCTCTGAATGTTGTGTTTATGCGGGTTTCTGTAAACGAAGATTTTTTTAAAAACGATCTGGTGTGAACAATATTATATTTTGAAAATGTTGATCTGTTTTTGTAAATACCCAGCTATGTGTAAATGTGGCTTAAGTGTAGCCCTGTGACAGACTGGTGACCTGTCCAGGGTGTCTCCTGCCTTCGCCCTGAGTCTGCTGGGATAGGCTCCAGCCCCCCCAAGACCCTAGTGAGGAATAAGTGGTGTATAGATAATGGATGGATTGACGGAAGGGGGAGTAACAAAAGATGTACTAAAAACCAGGATAAAGAGAAGGGAAACCTGATTGTGTAACAAAAAAAAAAACTATTTATTTACAATTTAGGGTAAAGATAAATCAACTGAAAGTGAGCTTCTTAACAAAAATGAAGCTGATCCAAAGTCTTCACTGAGGGCTGTAACACCAGCTATGCACCTACAGAGTTTAAAATGAGATGTACGGTTGTCAAGACAATGAGGAACACAGACACACACATACGCACACGCATATTCATAAAATTAGATTGATTAGTTCGATCATCAATACTGTCAAACATGTCTTTGGCATCATAAGAAGCAGTTTGGGCAACGTGGCAGACTGGGATTCTGGAGTTGCAGCATTTGTTTGAGTTGGTGCGATGCAGCAGGCAGTTTGTGATTTGCATCAGGCTGTGTTTCTAGGATTTGTGGCATGCTGCAGTTTGTGGGCTGCAGCATGCAGTTGGGAGGCTGTAACAGGGTTTTTAAGAGCTGCGGCAGGTTCTTTGGGATCAGCAGCAGGCAGTTGAGAAACTGTGGCAAGCTGTGAAGAGCTGCAGTATGCAAATCAAAATGGTCACATACTGATGATGGTCCAAGTTAAAATTCCTCGTGGTCGCATTTGTGCAAGTGTACGACGATCATTAAGTTGTTCTGATGCCCCTCAGCGACTGCGTTACCCATAGCGGTGGAAGGTAGTACTTTTATCTCTTCTTTGGCTCTGTCAGTCTGTTCCCGCCTGACGCACAAAACAGCTTATTAAGACACTTTGTTTTCCAATAATGATGCGGTCTGTGGCTAATTATTTTAAAAAACAAAATGAGGAGCGAGGAGGCAGCTGGCAGAGACAGAGAGTACCCGACTCAAGACACACCTGATGATCAGAGTGCAGGCAGGGAGGAAGATACCGATTGAAGTGGTGAAGGAAACATTTTTTTTAATTCAATGGCTAATGCAGAACTAGGGCCGCAAAATGACATGAATATTAATCACAGTCATTACTTTGGGTACACAATGAAGTGAACATCATCAACAGTTACAAATGCTCTGCATCCATAAAAAACTCAAATCTGGCATAGAAACACTTTATTTCACTCTTTTCCAACTAACTTATGGCCCTACATCTATCTGAGCACACTGCAGCCACCTAGCAGCATCGACTTCACATACGTCAAATCACGGCCAAATCCAGCCCGTCACGTCATTTTATGTGGCCTGCAAGAAATGTGTTTCCTAATTAATATAATAATAACAATTAATTAATGGGATTTACCTGATATAATGTTATAATGTATGTTATAACAACACAGCAATGTGCCTACACAGGGCTCTAGACTGTGCTCCCGACTATGTTCTCATATGTGACCATTTCTGAACGTGTGCCAGCTGAAGTTTCATGTGGTCTCATTGTGTGAGTGAATGATGACCATCAGGCTGATCTGGTTCCTTCCGTCAGCACAGGTAGCTGCTGCTGATCCAGTTATTGTGGTTGGAAGCAGTCACATTTCTTCCACATTGACTCAGTCTCTCTCTGTCTAATGGGTAAAGGACTAGCTGGTGTGACCAATGAAGAAATTTGGTAACACCAGAGCTACCATTGGAAAAGTTAGTCTGGAGCCCTGCTACATGTGTTTTACTTTTAGACAAAGACATGCACAATAGTTGTACATATGATAAACAACAATCAAATGCAGAGACAATTATTTAACAATATGTTAAGGAGTCGCTACATTTCTACAATCTTACAATTACAACTGGGGCAAACATAATACTTATGTGGCCCAGGATGAAAATGAGTTCGACACCCCTCATCTACTTTATCCTGCATGTGAGGCGTTTAGGGAACATCTGTAAATTGTAGTGTCTATCAATAAGCAGGTTTTTACCAAGTGAGGTGTTTGAAATGTGCCCAGTTTATAGGACTGATATCACACAACCTCCAGAAAGGGATTGGTGAAAAAGTTAATATACTTTCTGACTGAAATATTTTGTATATATCAAGTCACTGTCGTCTAGAGCTGAAACAACTAATCAGTTTAATCAATTAAAATCAATTCTTAAAATTAGTTTAGTTGCTTAATAACATTTCTTACCATACGTGGCCCGTTTTTATCCAAATTTTAAACCAATCTGTTATAGCAGCTACTAAAGTTTGGCAGTGATGAGGCACCGGTGGAAGTAATCTACCAGCACAGCAGGAGAAGTAGTGAACAGGCAATAGTTGGCCTTGTTTTATGTCATGTCCACCACAGTCAATGCATTTCGCGAGAGTGTGGAGGCGGCTGGCGGAAGTTCGAAGAAAAACGAGAAGAGAGATAAATCAGGAGAGAAAACTTCATCAACAAAGTCATCCAAAGTGTGGGAGCACTTCACACTAAATCTACAAAAAAGACGAGTGACCTGCAAACTTTGCAGAAACTGTTTTTTTTTTTCTTGTTTTTTTCAACAACTTTACCAAATTCTTTGTGTTGATGCTTTGAACTGAAAAAGCTTTATACTGAAAAGGTAGATATAAAGCTCATTGTGTTCCTTCTGATTCAAGCTGTGTTACAGAAATTTGTAAAATAAAATGCTGTAAAATGCACAATTCTCATGTTTTACTTTTGCTTCATGAAAATGTGTTTTTAATAACTTACCTGGGTAAATAAAGGCTCAACAAAAACGTTTGTTCAAAAAAACGATTAATTTAATAATCGTAAAAATAATCGACAGATTTGATTATCAGATAATCGTTAGTTGCTACCCTACTGTCGACCGTAACATCAGTGCAGTACTGTGGGTATGCAAATGAAGACAGTTTATAATCAGCATCCATCCATCCATTATCTATCCACCGCTTAATCCTCAGTAGAGCCGAGCCTGGAGCCTATCCTCGCTGACTTAAATTGAAGGCAGGGTTCACCCTGAACAGGTCGCCAGTCAGTTAATCATCAGCATGAAAGACTAATTAATAGTTCACCATCCTGGATCAACATAAAGGCGTAGTGGGAGGGTGCGATCAAGTTATGTGCTGGCTTGACCAACTAAGGAAGGTAAACCAAATGTAATTTGAAATGTAGACATCTTGACGTTCTTTTTCTTTCTTCAGTCACAGACCTTGCTGTCCCTGCTGTGTGAAGGCAGGAGTGTCTGAGTTGCTGAGATGCAGACGGGAGTTCAGGTCACCCCCCACCTGGAGGTTTGATGTAGTTTTGCAGGGTGTCTGGATGGCAGACTGCTTCCTCGACCTCCATCTCCTGCTGGAGGCAGCCTGCCTACACAGACAGACGGCTCTTTCTTCACAGCCTTAACCGTCTGATCACAGGCGTGCAGATTTGTTTTGTAGTCCCTTCCTGCCTTTGCTACCTTTTGTTGCTCTTGTTTCCATAACAAAAAGATCTTCTTTCTCCTTGGCTCTCTGTGTGTCATTGTCTGGTGACTGCACTGATGTGAGTTCTGGATGTACAGAGTCGAATCCTGTTAATGGGATTTTCTAGAACTCGTGCGGCACCCACTGTCAGAATGTGAACTCATCACAAGACATCGTACATCTGCCTTCGATGATGTTGCCTAGCAACACTGGCTCCACCCACAGGCAGCCAAAGGCCAGGCTACGCACCCCAAAAACTGCCCCCAAACATCTGATCTGTTCAACCTCAGCACTGCACTTCCTTGTGTTTCCAACAATACACTTAAAAAGTCTGAAACGGTTTGGATACGCACACAGCACACACAAATGCAATGACTCCTTGGGTTTATAATGAGATTTAGTGTAACATCCTGAGAAACCCTCTGAGTTCAAGGCTGAAAGCACTGAGAAATGTGTTCATAGAAAACATAAATATTGGCCATCTATACTGAATTCAACTCTTACTCAGACTGACAGCTGCTCAGGTCGTAACAAAAAGCCTCCATAAGGGAAAGCAGGAAAACTCAAACCCACACCAGCACACAGGAAGAACCTCATGAGATGAGATTCAGCCCCAGCAGGCATTTAGATGTCAGGAAAGGCCTCTAAGGTCAACTAATGCCCCAAAAGAGATAGCTGGGAAGTTATTACACTGAGGAGAGGAGAGGAAAGGAGAGGAGCTCAGGCTGACCTTTAAAGAATCACACTTAAACCAGCTGAAACTCCAGGCACACTCATAGGCTGATCTCACTCTCTGTCTGTGTGTCTCTGTGTCTGCTTGTGCATCGAAGGTTACCGCTAATCTGCTGCCTTTATAGAGGTACTGACGTTGAAGTGAATCTATGCTGCTGCACGTTCATCTTCACTTGTAATGGTTATCTTAGGTGGCAAGTTTGTCAAGATGATGCTTATAACTAACAGGGTGTTGACTACTCACCTTAAACGGAAGGAAGAGGGAGTTGACTGTTGCTAGAAGACTTGCGGTGTCGGGAGCGTCCCTCTGGCCACAGATCACAATCTGGAAAAAATGAAATTGGAGGGCGGTGACAAAAAGGAAAATATGACGGACAGGAGATTGGGAAGGAAGAGAAGATATGAGATGAGAGAGTATGAATAGTGACATAAGAGGCGAAAGGTGACACACGAGAGGAGGGGCGGCGGGGGAGGAAGCGATACAAGGTCAGTGCTGTATTTGTAGCAGTAACAAGGGAGGCAGGTGTTTTCTCTGGGATTGCCTCGCCTCGCCTCACTCCTGAGCTTGTTACCCTCGCCCCCTTGTCGTGACTTATCCTCCGCGGGTCACATATGATGGACAGAAAGCTAACTAACACCCCCTCCTCCTCCGTTACTACCCCCTTCTCTGATCCTTTGATTGCACAGCACCGGCTTTCATGCTGAAACTTTTCTTCGGGCGATCAAGAAACTTTGGGGGTGAATGCTGCTGTGCTTCGCTAGTACACTGGTTTCAGTGGTTTCAGGCTAAACTGAGGGTGTTAATATTTCAAAAGAGATTATATAACTGAGCCTGAACAGCTCAAATAACCCATTAAATGCATGAGGGCTGTAAGAAAAATCAGGGGAAAAGATTTAGAGTCTGTGTGTCCAGGGATTAAGTGTGCATGAAAGTAGAGAGCTGAGACAGATAGAGATGACCTACTACGGTTGAAATGGGGTGAGAAATGTGTATCAACACAGTAGTTGCTCGCTTTAGGGGGGGACACGAGCAAATGTTTATCCAAACAGTGTTTACATCATGCTGTGTTCAAGCTTTAATTAGATAAGTTGTTACTGATGAAGTAGGAGTGGAGGTAAAAACAGCATAGGACGTAAATGATACACAGTGAATGGTATATTATTAAAGACAAACTTAACGCTAAATCTACTTGTGTGAGTCAGTAAATCACATGCACAGGCACATTTCTACACTAATTAGCGCGGGTGTTGTTTACTGCTTCTGCAAGTTGTATTCAGAGAGAGTCGAGAAGTTATATCATCAAGACCCTTAAAAATCTTAGAAAGGTGCTCAGCCATGTTTGAATTTGTAAATGGGGTGTGTACAAGGTAACTCAAGCGGACCATCAAGGCTGAAAATCAATTCAAACGTGCAAACAGGTGCAGTTCCTCAAAAGGCCACTTGAGGCTGGCTCCAAAAGTGATCCTCGAGGCGCAATTTTTAAATTCTTGGCTTTTTTGGCGGAATTAAAATTTTTTCCGGCCTTTCTTTTACCGGGTTTTCTTTTTTTTTTTTTTTCCAATTTTAATTGTGTAAAAGTTTGAAGTTATGCCTAATTAAGGGAGCAGCTGCTCCAGCTCCACTCACACTCCACCTCTTTGCTCATTTTTGGATTATCTGGTAGTTAAGAGGAGTCAGGATGGCGATGGCCAGAGCCACCACACTAAGATTCAAAACTGATGTGATGAACACACGTTATGATGCTCTTTAGTTCAAACATTGTCAGTTCTTACCTTGTGATTATGATGAGCATGACAAAACATTGTCTGGTAAACATAAGAAGTGCTTAGTACTGAACTAAGCCCAATAATCTAAAGGAAACGATGTTCATAGGCTAGATGAGTGTTGTCGTGTTGACAACATTTAGCTGATGTTTTTGTACTTTGTTTAACAAATCAGGCATGAATCATGAAGTTATTCTGTGCTTTTTGTGATTGTCGTCTTTATTATTGAGTCAAAGACAGACTGTCAAACAGAGTGACTAGTAGAGTTATAAAACCTGTAAATGATGCACAATGTGGACAGTTTGGTCGGGGTGTGTACAGATTTGGAGTCCGGAAGGAAAAAGGTGCATTGGCCATATATAAAACTTTTGGTTTTTCACTGTTTGTCGAAAAAATAAGTAATAAAGACCTGACGTTAGGCCCTGTATAAGTTAAAGCATTGTTCACATCTCTGACAGAGATTAATGTAATGACTTCACTAATTAAAAGAAAAGTCATCATCAATATTGAAAAACTTTCTAGTTGCAGGGGCAGCCACAGTTAAAACAAAGCTGTGAAACGTGATTCAGAACAGATCCTAAAGGTCTTCCTGTTAAACGAACCCTGTCTCTGTGGCACTGAAGCCAGCTATAGTGGCATAGTGCTTCTGTGCCTTTTCGTTTTACTGCATGGTTACTGATAATAGAAATGAGTCGGCGCAATCAATACGGATGAAGAATTCATTGTTTCATCAGCTTCTTGCTCGGCTTTTGTTGTGGTGTCGTGTATTGTTTTGATTTTACCAGTAAATGCGATGTCTTTAGCGCCCGTACAATTTGTCATGCAAGCCGAAACACTTGCTTTTAGTAGGCGGCCATGAAAATGAGTTTCGGCTAACAGCCAGGTAAACACAATCTAAGACTGAGCTGTCTTTAGGGCTCAACATGGCAAGCCAAGATTGAACAATAACAGTTTGGAGCCATGGTTTAAGGGCTTTTAAAAACTCCTGGGATAACACAAATTAAAAAGTACAGTCATAGATGTCACTTTAGATGCAATAGACTACTTTGACGACTCTGTCATTACCAGTGACAAGCATAGCTGTACTGGTGAATCCAGACCAGCAAGAAATTTGATTACTAGATATTTAGCTCAATTTAATTTATAAACTACCAATTTGATAAAACAGCCAAAATATTCAACAACAACAAAAAACAGCTGTGTACACAACAGACAGAGAAAATCCCTCAGGTGCCTGAATGTGTACCCATCATTATCAGTTAATGTGTGTGCTGGTGTGACAATGACCTGTCTGAGCGTGTAGTGCTGGGCCATGAGCGACCGGACCATTTCAGGCAGGGCTATGGGAACCTTGCTCAGACGGTCAGAGAAGGCTGTCAGCAGCTGCTGGGACTTCTGGAGCCACTCCTGTCTTCCAGTGTAGTGGGACAGACGCAGGAGATTGCAGGCCGACACTGAGTTAGCGCTGGGCTCAGCTCCGTCCTGATCTGAGACGCACAAAGACACGAGACATTAAAATGAAGCTTTAACAGTTATAGCTTGAGACCAACTATATACTTCAAGCAATAATGCACCCAACAGGTTTCCAGTATGATCGTCAGCCTGTTTATATGGATCACATAGCATAAGCTAGCTCCTGAGGGCTGTACTGTGAAGCGAGATTAGTGGGTTAACAAGGTATGTTGAGCTTAGAGTCAGAGTTTTCAGTGTCACGAATGTGGCTTTCTTTATACCTGGCTAGATCTCCATGGTAACTGATGCTGTGGAGCCAACCTGGTCGGGAGCAGGTTATGTTCAGAGTTTCGGATTTAAATCGGCTGGAAAGAGCGTCTCCCTTTTAACCAAATCACTTACTGACCATTATGTATGAGCGATACAGATTCTCAGCTGAGGGAATGTGTTTTATCTGTAAACCTGTTGAGTTGTACGTTACTAATAGCACTGAATGAAGCCATGTAGTAACAGTATCACACACTGTAAATATCGTGGTGCCATGGGAACCAGACAGGGATGTAGAAATCACATAAATATGTTTTTATGTTTAGCTCTGACTTGCTGTCAAGTCCGTTTACTCTGCTGGTATTGCAGCTGATAGAACACAGATTAGAAAACTGATTATTCTACTGGTATTTATTACAGAGAATATTCAATCAATAACTTTAGTTTCACTTTGATTTGGCCAAAACTTAAAGTGATATCCTGCATTATGGGATAGTGTCAGACCTAAATGCACTTCAGTACAAGATCATGTTTAAATGTATGAAGTTTAAAGTTTAACTTTAACGTGCAGCTGTCAGTTGGAAAAAAGTGGCTGCATCAGTAAAATATTATATATTAACACGTTAACAGATTTCTACCAGCATTTCTGTCTTGCATCATTTGCAGTCGCAGCGCTTTTCACCGTCAATTTTTTCATATTCCTCATTGTTCCCCATTAAAACAACAATTTGACGAAAGCAGCACCACACAATCGTTTCATGTTGCGCAGAAAAAGAGTCACATGACGCGTTAAACGCCTCCTTTTATGCAAACGCACACAGAGTCTGAAGCAGAAAGCCTGAGTTGACAAAAAAGGTTGATAACCACCTGCCTGATACTCTTTACCCCTGATAGCGGCTTTTGTTTTTGTCTAGCCGGCTTACACAAAGAAAGTCCGGCTATGTCAAACTTGCTTCATAGTACAGCCCTCTGATGTTTATGCTGTCTGTCGCACATTTGACAGTAAACAACTGATTTATCAGATTTATTGATATATTTGATGTAGCTAGTTTGTCAAACAGCAACCAAAGTAATTAGCTGTGAAAACTTAATTGTAAGTTTATTGATTACTATTTATTTTTTATGGTAATCGTTACTTAAATACTTAGTCATTCATCGAGAGACAAAGTGTCTTTATAGGGTAAAGCTGACCGCTGTTTTCAGGAATGTTACATATGGAGGGTTAAAAATAGAGAGTACAGGGCCCTATGGGATGAGGTCTTAGTCTGAAGAGGCTTATTTGTCACATATGGAAGGCAGACTTAAGAGTTTCTGATATGTACACCGACATACAAACATAAATCTTGTAACAGATGTGAGGCCACTGATCCAATACAACAGCTTTCTGTTACAATTTGTCAGACTAACAGAGGGAGTGAAAATGCAGGTTCTGCGCCCTCCTCCCAGTCCCAGTACACAACCACCTCATTCCCCACAGTCACTGTGTGGTGTGATGTGATGGAAGTAACGGATGACCTCATGACTCAGCTCTGTTAAGTGATTGGTCCTTATCTTTAATCAGTGTCCAATGAGAGGCAGGAGGTGATCTTCTCATAACCTCCGACCTCGCTGCACGTCTCGGCAATGTCCCCGATGCCTGCGCTTTTAAATGTGTGAGTGCAAAATGAGTGTGGGAAAGCTGATACAAGTTGCTTTAAAGTCAAATTACAATTTCGAGTCAAAGCCTTTAAGAGTAGAGAAGATAACCCTACACGTTCATGAATGCTAAAAGCCACACAAACTGTACTGTAAACCGCAATATTATTTATGACAAGCATGAATTAACAATCACATATAGATGCAAGTGAACACCCATGCATGACTGAATTGCAGAAATTGCAGAGATTTTATCCTGTGGTGTGGTTCAGCTCTCCCTGAGCCCCATGGCAAGGAAGTTTCAACACACACACATACATATACTGTTAATATACAAAGAGGCGGAGCGAGAGAGTGTGTCCGCTTTCCACATTTCACATCTCGACTCTTAAGAAGCCCCCGTGGAAGGAGGTCACGTACACACATGAAGCTGTGACGGAACACACAACACTGTCACGTACAGCGAGACTCGTGAAAGTCACAAGGCGATGGCTCCACGGCCCAGAAACACTCCCTGCACTTTGGCAACTGCTTAAGCCTGGTTTATGGGCCGCCACTATAGCTGGCGACCCATGTACAGGGGCTATAGTTCCCGATGCAGCGGTCATGGGTTCGAATCCCACTCACGGCCCTTTGCTGCAAGTCCTTCCCCCACTTTCCTGTCTCTCTTCACTGTCCTATACAATAAAGCCAAAAAGGCCAAAAAAAAAAGTCGGGTTTATGCTTGACGTGCCCGCGAGGTCCGTGCGGCTCTGTGCGGACAACTTACGTCATTTTAGCGAGTCACGTCCCCTCGCATGATCCTTTCAAGCGGCAAATTTCTAACAATGCGGATGGAGACGCATGGAAAACATGGCGTACGAACAGGGACTCCTAGTGGCAAAGGTACAAAAATACAGGCATTCATATGATTTTTCACGCAGGGATCGCCGTGATAGCCGTGTGACGAACAATTCGTGGCGTGAAATTGCAGCCACACTCGGGAAAGAAGAGGAATGGGTGAAGAAAACCTGGAAAAACCTACGGGACAGATACGTTAAGGCAAAAAAACAGCAGCAAAGGGTGAAGCGGAGACTCGGGGAAGCCGAAATGTCCCTAGGACTTTAATAGAGTTGAGTTGGCTCTCAACATTTATCAAGCACAGGGAAACTGACTCCAGATGAGGTAAGTCTATTGATAATTATGTCAGAACAGAAAACAAACGGCTAAAACCGGATGGAATTTAGCCTTGTGCTAAATCCAGCGTATTTACTGCAACCTTGTGTAAACTACCAGCGTGTCACCATGTTGTAAGCGATGTAAACAATGCCAAACTTCTTCTACTCCAATTTAGTACTGTGGTGTAGGTGGTTCACGACACACTGCCCCCTGCAGTTTGGTAACAGACGCCGCGCTGAGTACAAAAGCCACAGGCGTTTTCTCGTGACGATTCCATGTGTCTCATTTCCGCGCGTCACGTTTGTACAGAAAGCATAATCCAGCCTTTACACATTTATTAGTTTTTTGAAAGTCCATAACACCACTGATGAACTGGAGAGACCTCAAGTTTTTTGTTTTTTTTTGCTTGTCAAAAATGGAACACAACTGTAAGCGCACAGTAGAAGCCACTCAGATAAAAGGCAGAACAGACACTGTGCGTGATTTTAACCTTACTCCTCCAAAAACAAATACACACAGGGGGGAGTCTGGCAGGCTGGGAGATGGAGAGTGGCAGCTCGGTGGGGTAATCCGTCTTGCGCTGACAGGCCACACTGCTGGGACATGCGTCCACACTGCAGCGGCTGTAGCGTCACTAATGGGCTTCAACCCCGCGCAGCGCCGCCACCATAATGGCACCGTCAATCCTCTCAGATGAGAAACCCCTCGCACGTCAGCTCCGATAAACGTGCGCGGATGCAGGTGTGACGGCTCGCGGGGACAATCGGTCCCACGTACACACACACACACGAGCTCACATGCAGCCATCGTCTCCAATCTGTCAACAGTTCATAAGAAGAACAACTATTAGCTTTTTCTCTGTTCACCCACACATCTGTGGTGTCTTATTCCTGTCTGAACTGCTTCCACCGAGCTATCTCTTACAGACGCGTGTGTCATTGTGTTTTAGTTGGAAAAGAATCATCTGGAACATCGAAACTGACAATCTTCCAGTTAGAATTTTTAGTTTAGAGGGCTTTATGTAGAGGTTAAATGTTGAAAAAACGACATCAATGCTAGTTTCAATTAAGCCATTTTAAAAGTGACCATATGCGCACACACACAAAGCCTAGTTTATAACACCACAAAAACCAAAAGCCCCGAATCTCCAACTAAACAAATCCTGTAACGCAAAAGCGAAAAGACACAATACGACGGGGGAAAAGACCAGCCTACTGACAGCATACACTGTATTATAAAGGAAAATATTAAATTGAGTAGAGATGACAAGGGAATAAGAATAAAAACACAAGTGGGAGCAGAAAGCTGTTAAAATAGATGGCTGCTGTCAGACGCGGTAGCTCCAGAGCAAAAACGAAAAAAGAAAAATATGGCGACTGGATCCAAACTGGAAACTTTGGTCTGACAGATCAAAGGTAAATGTCTGCATGTCTACAAGGTGTCAGTTTTCTTTGACCTGCCAGCAGCCATCAGTTAGAGGAGCAGACTGGCAGCTGAAGAAAGACTAGAGTGCACATCAAGGTCAGACCCATTTATATTTATGTTCCATCAGTCCTTCGGTATAAAAACCCTCCTTTATCCACAGAATTGCAACATTAAACTTCATCCTGAATAAACTGTTTATATGTGAAGAGTGCAGACTTATAAATCGCAATAGATTAAAAAAAAAAGGATGAAAGGCAGATTTAGACCAATGGTATTAACCTTTATTTGCTATATATGCTAGAAATGTGTGCGTATGAGTAGGGTTGGCCTTTGGGAACTGGTTCCGACTGATTTTAGGGAATCATTTTGGTTCAATCTTATCGGTTTGTGAAGAAATTTCGCAGCACTCGCAGTAGTTTTTAAACAGTGTACTACAAAACCCTACTGCTATCTTTCTGAGTCTAGCATTGTTCTCAGTTAACCTATTCAGTTGCTTGTCTAGCACAAACCATGTGACGGTCTTCTAACAATTGTCTTTATATAGCAAACACTACAACACACCTTACAACAGGGGTGGGCAATCCTGGTCCTCGAGGGCCACAATCCATGCATGATCAGCTCATCAAGCTCTGCAGAAGCCTGATAACGATCCTGATCATTTGAATCAGGTGTGTTGGAAGAGAGAAACATCTAAAACATGCAGGATTGTGGCCCTCGAGGACCAGGATTGCCAACCCCTGCCTTATAAGGACAGGACTGGATGCAGTAAAGCAGCTAAAACAAACTCCAAAACACAAAAGACCCAGAAAACAGACCGCCTTTGCCAAATTTATGACTACTTTATCTAGCTCTGTTCTCCGTAGCATTTCACACAACTTTCTCTTCTGTAACAATGAACACTACAGTAACTTTCATAGAAATTATAGCAACACTTTCCTGTGACTGCAGCAACCTGCTAGTGCTTCTCTCACAGAATCATGTAATATGTAACTTTAAAACAAATAAAACTAAATAAAACAGTGTTTCTATTACCAAGTTTGTTCAGTGGTAGTCAAGCTTGGTCAACCCATTCTTTACATTATGGTCTGGCTGCACCATGACTATCATTCTGCTGTAAGAGGTAAAAACACACTCTGGCTTGTGAGTATTTCTTTAAACCAATTACACTCATCGCTACGAGCGGGGTTAAGTAATGGATGTGACTTCAATGTTCCCTTAAAATAGCGACAGGTGGATGTTTTGGTGAAAGATTAGCATGCAGGGAGATGAGGGCTGTGATAAAAATGGATAATCCACTGGAGAGAAAGAAAAAAAAATGAGCAGGGCTGTCTTAGTGCATGATCCAAATCCTTGGCAAATCTAAAATTTGCCAAGGATTACCAAACTAACATTTTCATGTTAGTTTGGTAGTGTGGAGGTTTTTGTTTTCCATAGCTTACAGTAACATACTGATAGCAGAATGGAAGGACAAAGCCACCTGAAAATGAGCAGCCAATGGGAGACTCATACATGCAGCCGACAACCAGAGAGTCAGACTAGTTCATTAAGAACCCTGTCTGAAATATTCCACTTAGTGCACATCCTCATCAGTAACTGAATGAATTGTTTTTTTGTTATGTAATGTCAGCTTCAAACACATCTTGTATTGATCTGGCTCTGGTGCCAGTCTGCAGCTCTGCCAGCAGCTCTGCGAGACTGTACTTAGGCACAGCTGTGCACTGAGCTAAACACTAAAACCAGCATGCCAACAGGCTGTTATTTAACAGGTAATATTCACCAGGTTCACCATCTCTGTAGAGCACACTGGCACGCTCACGTTTGCTAATTAGCAATAAACACGAGGCACAATTAAGGCTGGTGGGAATGTATGTAGTTATGTTGTTATTTGTTCATTAAACAGAGGGTACGGAAAATTAAAATTCTGACGATGGCAATGGGTAAACTGTTATTTTCATGAAGGGTCTGTGAATATCTGTACTAAATTCATGGGAACAGCTTCAGAGACCTTTCACAATATATCAGATTCAATATAAATCTAGCAGCAGAGTTAAAGGAAAAGACAAGGGATGAAAATCAGTCCATGGAACAATGCTTCGAATATGGCTTAAACTTTGTAAATGTGCAACAATCCAATATTCTTGCTATAACTAACTAAGTAAATAACTTCTTCAACTAACAATTTGGTAAAGAATAGTCCAAAAGCATCTCCAAAACTGAAAGACACAAGTCATAGCTTGAAAAAAAACTCCATGCCATTTTGCAAGAAACTTTTCAGGCACAATATCAAAAAGCGATTATTACACAAAGTTCGAAGAATTTTGTTTTTAAATGTCACACTGTCATATCTGCAAGATTAAACTTTTAAAAGTTATTACATTCCGTGCCAATGTGTACCTTACACCTGAGCTGAAAGTGAAAGGTACGAGAGCAGCGAAGTGGCAAAATGTAATTAATATAAACAAATTCTAGACAAAGCTAAGGTGTAAGCGAGCTACAATGAAGCAGAGGCGCAAAGTGGATTTCGGATTCCCACTGTGCATTGTGGTGCTGTTTCAATCTGTCAGAAGCAGACGAACTGAGAGAAAGAGTGGAGACGTATTTGACAGGTCTGGTGATTAAAGCAGCCGAAAAATCAGTGCATCGGTCCTCCGTGTCCTTTCATGGCGGAGGGGTTCAGCTTAAATGGGTGAGGAGGACTGCACACTGCTGAAAGTAAATAGTAGAGGTCAATATTCCTCTGCCCCCCTCTTCTATCATCTACCCATTCATCTATCTATCTATCCATCCATCTATCCTTGCCTCTGTCCTCTCTTATGGTTTAAGGTGCCGATGGAATGGAACTGGCAGCGATATTAGAGCAGAGGCTTCCATGTTGTGAGCTCCGAGCCAATCGATAAGGTGAAGGATACAGGCAGGGGAGAAAATGACGGATGATGGATGAATGGATGAATGAATGAATGATTGCTTTGATCCATTAACACTTCTTTTGTTCAAACAAATTGAAGCAATCCATTCATGCCTCCTCGGTTTCGTCTGTGTCCCCGTGGTCACATTGTGTCGCTGTGTTGACAGCAGCAGCGGTGTTTGCAGGCCTCAGATCCTCTATTTATTCACCTCTCTGAGATATCAATCCTTCAATGGGTCTCAGCTACAGAGGGATGCTGTGCTAGCACTATTAATCCTTCACCTGTCCATCAATCTCTCGCCGTATCTCTAAAGCCACGAGCACTGAAGCCTACAGCAGTACTGTCAGTCCATTATTTATTTTCTACAACTGAATCCAAATCCCAGAATTATAACACATAGGTCATGAGCTGAGAATCATGAATAACATGGACAATGAAGGTCTGCCAGTTGGCCAGGAGACCACTCTGGTCCAGACTAAAATGTGGCAACAGTTATTAAATGCGATATTCAATTACTTTAGTGATTACGTAGCGTTTCCTGTTTAGATGAATTAAGAGTAAATTTTGCAGAGATATTCTGGGTGCTCAGAGGACCAATGCTAAAGACTTTTCTTCCCACGAGCATGATGTTAACATTTATTGTTGTGAGGATCGCTGAACTGATTTTTCATCCTGTACCACTGTCAGCTAATCACAAATATGTGCAATAATGTATGTTTGAACGTAGTCAATATTCTACCTGCTAAACATCAACATATGAGCATTGTCACGGTGAGTATGTTCGTACGATGTTAACATTTGACTTAAAGCACTGCAGGATCTAACTTAAACTTTACAGAGCAGCTACCATGACCACACATATCAGCCACAGCATGAAAACCCCTGGGAACTGAAATGAAGGGTCAAGGGACTGGATAAATAAGGCAACAAGTGCAGCAAGTTGTTGAAGTTGACATTTAAGAGCAGGAAAAATGGGCAGCTTAACGATTTGAGCGACTCTGATGAAGACCAAACAGTGATGGCCATATGACTGTCAGTACAGCTCCGAAAGAGTAGGTCTTGTTGGGTGTTCCTGGTATACAGTGGTCTGCACCAACCAAACTGTGGTCAACAGGACCTGCTGCTAACATCTTGGTGCCTGAAACCAGAGGACTCCTTCAGAGTTCTGTGGACTTCAGGCCTTAGAGGTCACAGATGGCAACACATGGCTTCATCATTAGATCGTTAGGTGTGATTCAATCATCTGTAACTGGCTGGCCCTCAAAAAAGTTAATTAAAACCTTAATAAACACTAATAACCCTACTTATTGTGCGAGGGTTTATCAGACATATTGTCTGTAAACCTAAAGGTCAGCTGTGTTGGTACAAGCGAGTAAAAACATACTTGCTGTCACATACAAGGTCAACTTCCAATACGTAGGTAATTCATTCCATAAGAACAGAGGTAGGGTTGTCTTAAAGTCTATACTGGTCAGTGGTGGGCCGTCAGGCTAGCAAGGCCTTCTCTGCTGACTTAAACTCTATCAGACTCACTGACTTACGTTGTAATAGTTTCCCATTTATCTTTTTACATTGTTCCCAGTAGTCTACTCTCTTCATTTCATAGTGTCTGTGGGCTGTGGTGCTTCCAGCAGTGTTTAGATTAGAGCTTTTATCTGACGCTTTTTATCAATCACGTCAGCCATCATGTGTTGCCAGGGTCAAAGTAATCTACCGTGAGGCCTTCAGAATCAAAAGTGCAAACGCCTGTAGCTCAATGAAACACAATGAATGGCAATGAAACTGTTGCTTTAACCAATCAGATTTGGAGTGGGGGGTCCCAGGGCCAGCTAGCTAGCCTACGATAACATCAGTATTTTCACGTCCTCTGACTGGATGGTTAGAGAGATTAACCAAAGCTTGTAGTTCCTATCTGTAGCAACCTGCACAAGCTAAAACTTTATTGTAAAAGTATAAAAAGCTGTTTTGTTTTAAGTTAATCGCGCGGACATTCTCAGTCCTAAAACGAATTTAAACTTTTACCAGAAGTACCACTGGACAGACCCGACTTTCAGCATTAGCCTCCATGGCGACAGAAAAATATTGATTGTTGCCTGCACAACAGAGTGATTGAAGTGATTGAACTCTTTTGATAAGAAAGGAGGATGTTTTTGTCATTCTGTTGGGTTAATATTGATGCTTCTGTTAGATGTCACACATACAGCAGAGTTGTGGCTGCAGCAAAAAGACATTTGTTTTAATTAGGTTTCTTGCTTTAGTATTGACATTAATTCTCACTACATGAGATACCTGTCTGCAATGCAACGTCCCGTTATATTACCTTTCTGCATAATATTAATGGTTTCTTTAGCCATGGCGTCATAATGATGGTATTAACAGGTGGTTTGATTCAGGTAGGACACCACAGGTGTAAAATGCACAGCCCGCCACTGATACTGATGGTCTGTGATCACTAGTCAGACTGTCTACAGGTCCACCGATCTATATAAGTATCCATCCCTCACCCTCTTTCAGTTGCAGCAGTACAGTGCTGTCGCTGGGGTCACTGCAGAAGTAGCCTGCTCCCTGATCGTCCCACAGCAACACGTCCTGCCTGAGCTGCAGCTCCTCGGCCCACTGCAGCCACTCCGTCTGCAGCGTGGCCTCGTACAGGTCCAGCAGGCCACAGATGATGAAGGCATAGTCGTCCAGGAAGCCAGAGATGGGAGAGGATCTGGAGAGGGAGAAAGAAAATGAAAATCAGAGAAGACGAGCGGGAATGAGGACGTTTTTCATTAAGAATTTATTGACAGATCAATGTGAGAGGCACTGAGATGGGTTACCACTGGTGAACTAGTTCAGCTTCTTGTTTTTTTTCCTCCTTCATGTTTTATACAGAAAGTGCTTGTTTATCATGCCTGAAGAAGATCAAGCCATGTTTTCTGTCAAGACAGTATAGAAATCCAGAAGAACTGACTTTAAAGATAGACTGTAACGAGCCTGAGGGAATTTTGTGGGACAGTGCAGAGCTACATTATAATACGCACAGCGGCATAGAGTATAATCTCTCCCTAAAGCATTTTTCTCGATGCGAAATTATTCATCTGCCTTCTCTGCAGTAAAGGCAAAGGCACTCGTATACGCACATATAACTGTGTACACACGTTCTCTGGAGTTTCAAATGGAGCAGAACAACAATCAAATCTGATTATAATTGGACCATGCTAGAATGTTTTTCTTTTTCTCCCATCATCTTCACTAACTTCCACACTCTTCCATGTTTTTTTCTTCTCCTTACTATATTTAACTTTGAAATCCTATCCACACCTGGAGGTTTATGTCTATACCAATCTGTCTCAATTTCACAACCCGTTGCCATTGATGTTTAATGTGATGTATTGTTTAAGACGTGCCCTTCCCAGTGTCGGGATTGAGTCATCAAACTCTGTCCTTAACTCCAAATCAGTTTCTAAATTCTACCGCTGGTCCACCCCATGCTGCTTCCCCCTCTTCAATTCTCACAATGCACCCCATCTGAGTGAGTGTAAGGGGACGAACGGGTGACAGGAGGCCAGATAGCGCTCCGTCATGAGAGGATGATGGCTGGTGGTCAAGAGGCTGGAAACAGGAGGAGGCTTTGGAGGATGTGAAGTGCCTGACTTTGAGAGGTCATGCAGAGGTGAGGAGTCATATCTCAGTTTATCTTCTCCAGACAGACAGACAGCAGTTGACTCATGAGTCAAGCCAAAAGGAGACAGAAAGCACGCTAGTGCTGGACAAAACAGGTTCAGTTTACTGTAAATCCAAAGGGGAAGAATATATTTGCAATCTAGCTGATGGGAAATACCAAGGAAGCAAAGATTTAGAAAAAAGAATAAACATCTACAGGTGTGTTTATCCTCCCTGTAACAGAAACAAAACTGTAGCACTGATAGAAATTAATGCTCAACGTTTGTTGCTGGTTCTGAATAGTTATGGCAAAGTAATTTAAAAACAGTAGTGGATGGTGTGGTAGTTAGGTAACTTTAGCTAAAGGTTTACAGCTGTGGTTAAATGTTGTTCGTGTTCATGCTACATGGCCACTATATGTTTAGTTTCATGTTTATGTCGTGTGATTGTGTATTTATTTTATTTTCTCTGTATTTTCAGTTTTACAAGACGTTCGGAAGCTACAAAAGAACAGTAAATGCCGAGGAAAGCAAGCCTTGTGTGTTTATTGAATATAGCTCGAACATGTTAACTGGCTGTCTGGCAGTGCAAAAAAGAAAGAAAGAAAAAAAAGCTAACATCTGTTTTAACCCTACCAGTCGGTTATCAGGTTTGGAGTAATAACTGTTTCAGGACACCAACATTTGTGAACATGCAAATTTGCACAAAACACAGACTAAAGTTGAGGCTGAAGAGAATGTTATTAGTTCTGAAGGTACCAAAGTACTGCTGCTAAATTATGCTGCTGGGTGTAAAGTAAGGGGATCACTAACCTCAGTGATAAATCAGAAGAACAACTTTAGGGAAGCAGTGGCTGAACCAAAGAGGCAAAATGAAGTGTCTTTGCCAAACGAAGCAGTGAGTTCATCTACACTCCTACAGAATTAAAACATGCTGCTTGAAATTGCGTCTTATCAAGTATAAATTTCACCTTCAGGATGTTTGTCCTTGTAAGTATGAGAGTATGGCTTCTTCTTTACCACTTTCACGTATGCCAACCCATATCGGGTTCATTACTGCCTGTTTATTGGTCAGAGGGGAAAAAACAAAAAACACCAACTGGTAAGAAACAAAGTTGTGTTTTTTTTGGTGGCCATATGGTGCAAAAATGAGCCCATTCAAAACACACATGAGCATACAATGAGAAGCCTAGGTGAGATTTATACAATTACAAATGCATTCAAACTATTTTTGACATTAATATACATGAAAACTAGTTGAATGTTTACCTCTGATAAAGTCGCTTTTATACGGTTTGCAAATGGATAAAATGGATAAGGTTGTCCCAAACCTGCTTTGGATAGCAGCAAAGTTTCTGTTCAATATACACTGAGACAATTCACTCTAACCATCACAAAATCTGTGTGCGCTCTGCAGGGATTTAGAGCTTTTTTTTATTTTAAATTAGTAAAACTTATTAAACTCAGTTGGTCTTCCAAAACAAATCTGTCCATTTATAATCAGGCTGCCTCTTTCCCCACATCAAGACAGTCCCAAGCAGGAGCTTCCCAAACTTATATATATATATATTTTATAAAAGAATACCCTCTCCAGTCACACTGCAGCATGTCATCTGGCTGAGGTGACTCCAGCCGCGGGGATGACAGCCTGAGACAAGACCTCAAGAGGACCTCAATGACACAAAAACACAAAAATGTAAAAGGCTTTCAGAAGTACTCAGCAGCCTTTTCATTCACACCTTCAGCAGCGCGTGTTAAATGAGTCATTTCCCTGAGAGCAAAGATAAAACACCTTGTCAGCTTTGTCAGTTTACCGTATCATAGCACTAGGAGACGGGTTTAGAATAATAGCTTCATAATGGTTCCCTGATACACTGCTACTTTACTTCCCACCGAATAAACGTCAGAGGTAGAAACCTCTTGGGGCGATCTGGGTCACATAAACATATTGAGTCCCATCGTTTTTACAACAGCGCTGACCTTTATGTTAGTGACTATTTTAATACGCTTGCTCGTGCTTCGGAATGTACGGTTTAAGCAATGTGCTGTGAATTACAAATGAAATAACGTATGATGTCACGTAGAAAAGCAGGAAACGTCCATATTTTTCTCCTAATTACTCCTTGTGCACTGGCCCCTGTGGTGACACCGCATGTTTTAGCTTTTGCTTGCACTGAACATTATTTTTCAGTCCATTTACTCCATCCCTTTAAAGACGGCACGATGCACTCCAAAGGCACTGTTATGACTGACTTATTATGGTGTGTAAAGCTCTAAGTGTAGGGTAGGAAGGTGAAACAACAGAGTAACATTATGATTAGAGTTGGGTGTCATTAGTATTTTCACAATAGAAGTTTTAACCAGGTTATCGATTCTGGTTCTTCATGGTTCTTAAGTGGCTGGTGGTTAGAGCAACAGAAAATTTTGATTTCATATTGATGCATGAGTAATAACATGTTATAATGAACTGTATTATTGTATAACAGTCACAAGAGAGTGAATTCTTCACAGCAGTCTTGCAGTGCTCACCATGAATAAATGCTAGTAGTGAAAAAACAAAGCCAGACCAAATATATATCATTTTATATCATAACGCCGCTGGTTTCGTTTCTAGTTTACACTTTTATGCTTACTTCAATATAACAGAGTCCACTTTCGTCTTTGCAAAGCGCTTTGTAGCGGCATTTGCCAAATGAAAATCGTTATTACGAGATAATCGCACAGTCTGTTTTGTTCACCTGTTAAAGCAACTCAGCAACAGCTGATTAAGTGAGACAAACTCATGAATAATTATGGCAAATGCATCAAGAGACGGGAAGACATGCAGGCATTTAGATCGCATGACTAATCACTTAGCGGTACATGTAAACTAGGCATGTGCTTATTAGGTAGGTTGAGTGAAATTTGTTTAGGAGCCAATAAGCAGAATCAAAGTTAAAATTTCTTACTGTTTCCTTTGGAATCTGAATTTTGGACCTGGCTCTGAGTTGGAACTAGTTCCCAATGTCCAACCTCACTTATGAAACTATTGGAATGCAGCTTCGACTCAGGGTCACAGATCAGGTTTGCTTACTGTTGGGTAGTTAATATTATACATGATAATTGTGCTTGTGCTGTTGTGTGTGTGTAGCCAAAGTCAGATGTATCTTGTTCCGTTGTTGTCCAAAAACTACTAAAGGGAGCTACACTGAATGACATGTTCCTTAATTATCATGAGCATGGGCACTGCAATTTATTCTGATCCAGTCCAACATGATTTTGTGTACCAACTGTTTTAATTCATGGCTAAAAAGAGTGGACAGCAGATGCACTATTACACTTCACATTTGCCAAAAAAAAAAAACGTTGGGCCTGCTGATTTAAAAAATTATAGTCTTTTTAAAACTTGAACTACTATTTGTGAGCTGATTTACATATTTCAAAAAAAACAAGGAAGTTTTGGGCTGAGAGCCACAGGGATGATAGGGACGGTGAATATTAATGAAAGATCAACAAGAAGATTAGACCAAAGCATACTGTAGCCCAGGCTCGACAACTGTACTTTAGAATAATAATCATCCCCTAAAACAATTCATTAAAAAGGTAAACCAAATCCTTAAAACAATGAATCTTGTTTTGAAATAAACAAATCTTTAGTAGAGTTACATGTATTAAATACAGTTAAAATGTGATTTAAAAGTAACAATTGGAGTGAATGACATTGAATTTAGTCATATAAATACATATATTTAAAACGCAGAAGCTATTTCGATAAAGAAAAGAAAGAAACCTTGTGTGTCTTAGTGTGAAGGGTTAGATTCGATGATCCCCAATCGGCAAACTCCATGAGCCTCAGGTGATCAACCCCTTACTTCCTTTTCCTGTAATTCCTTCCTGATTACGAAAAAGCTGGGATGGCTGTCTCGTGTTCATCTTGATGCACTATGAAATTAATTTGTCATCATTTGCTGGTGCAGTGTGAGCGGCCAGATGACTGCCGCTGGTCGAACCAGATGTAACACTACAAAACCGAGCCAGTCATACATTAACTCAGTGGTCAGGTTTTTTTATTACCCCCTTTCTGTTGGTGAAACTGTCAAGGAGGATCTCTGTGAAGATTCTCAGACATCCAGGTTATGGTTAATCTCGTAGTTTAGCCATTAACACTTGTCTCCTAAAGAATACAAGCATCTGGAACTTCCAACTAGTCAGTCAGAACTGATGAAGCCTCTTGGATGAGAGGTGAAACGTTTTCAAGAAACAAAGCAAGTCCAGTGGCTACGATTAATCTACAATAATATCAACGAGGATTGAAGTCACATCCCACCGGAACTGGAGCACTTCCTGCTGAGCTCAAGTGAGGTTTCCACGATTCAGAGATTCCCAGTGTGAACTGGGTGATCAGCCAGACTGAACCACTGGTAACGGAAGTGTTCAGGTTTCCCCGATCCTTCCCCCTCACAGACTGTGTGGTAGGACTAAATGAACACTGGTGCACTGGCACTGATCAATAGAAGGGCCCCAACCAGATAAAGACTAACTTGGGAACATTTTTTTCTGCCGGCTTTATTATTTTAACTTTTCATTCATTGCTCAGCAGACTGGGGTGTTCAAAATGTTACTCAAGTGGCCAATCAAACAAGCTATTGTTGTCTGTGTCATTATTGATCTTCAAATATACTGGCTCTTAACAACTTGTTGTCTTCTGATACTGGTTCAATAGCTGTTATAGATCAACACTCACCTGTACTCTGTCATTACACTGTAATAAGGCTGACAATACTGTATGGGTTTGCATTACTTTTTGTGTAAAACGGTTTACACTGACTTAGCCCCTTAATTGCACTTAATGGAATCTTGAAGTTACATTAAACAATAATTTCAAAAAATGAACTGAATAACTACTGAAGAGAACAGTGTGTTTCCAATTTTGTGACAACAGTTTAGGGAAGGCCTTCTGCAGAAACAAGAACTCATTTAGCCATAATCTCTGCTAAATAGTGTGCAAAACAGGCTGCATATGACCCAACATGTTGACAAGCCAAGTAACAATGAGTCAACATCACCACTGACCCACTAGGGATACGGCTCAGGCACTCCACTCAGGCTTCCCTCTGTTCCCTGAGGACGCCAGTAAAACTCTCAATCACGCAGTGTCGGGAAAGGGCCACAGAAAATCTATGGCATCAGCTCCTCAGCAACTTCCACAGCCTATTAACCCAGTTAGTTTCAGCACCTACCATTCCTCCTGGTAAATTAGCCCACAGCTCATATGTGCCAGGCATGACAGAGTGATTTACCCATGTATTGAAATGAAACCAGGCTTGAGCAAAGGGCCTTGGTAAGCATTCTCGATGCTGACACCATCCTGAATTGGACAATTATGGATGAGACAAAGGCTGTGAAACAAGGCCAAGAGCGTTTAGGCACAAGTGTGTGTCGGTTCATGCATGTGTGTGAAACTGTGTGCCTTTCATCATGCGTGTTTTGGGACTCCTGGCACATTTTTCTGCTGATTCTGTGGCATTTCACACTCACTCATTGACAGTAAGTAGGGCACAGGGCTAGCCAACAGAACGAGGACGCCTGGACCGGTGGTGGAGAATCAACAAGAGACTATTTGTGTTTGTGTGTATTCCCCGATGCTTCCAAAACAGACTCAGTCTAATCTACCTGAATGAATGATGACATTTTCCTGCACTTGCATGATCTGGACAGTTTTTTTTTGGTTTTTGGAGTAACCTTACTACTTACGCAGGAGCAAATAAAAAGGTATCTCAACCCTTCCAAATTACTGGTTTTCAGCATTCTAAATACCAGTAACAAGTTTTCAATCCATTACACATCCATTAAACATTGACGGTGCGGGTGCAAAAAGTGAACTCTTAGATTTAATAACTGGTGGAGCCTCTTTTGAAAGCAATAACCTCAAAAAAGTGTTTCCAGTTGCTGTGAATCAGAGCTGCAAAACATTCAGGAGGAATTCTAAACCATTTATACTTAGAGAACTGCTTCAGCTCAGACACATTCTGAGAATGTGTAACGTGAATGACTCCCTTAAGGTAATTCCAAACCTACAATAACCCAAAACTATTTGGTCTAAACTCTGACTGGGCATCTCCAAAGGGTGCATTTCCTTTGTTTAAAGCCATTTATTTATATGACGCCTTGATACGAGCTGTCCGGACCCAGAAGTAGTAAAGCAGCCCCGAGTTATGCTGCTGTCACTACAGTACTTCACCTTTAGGATGATGTTTTACGACTTGGCATGCGGTGCCCTTTTTAAGATATACATAGCACTTCATGTTTTGCTCAGACAAGTCAAGCTGAGTTTCATCAGTCCACAAAACATTTTCCCAGTGGTGTTGTGGGGTATCAAGGTGCTCTTTGACCAACTTAAATCGTGCAGTGATGTTGAGGTGCAGTGGGGTTCTTATTTTTTCCTCATTCACCGAGTTGAAATCATGGTTGCAATGCATTGAGAGGACTCCAGGTTTGCAAACTCCTGAACCCAGGTGGCTTTTTAAAATTAACTTAAGCTCACTTATTTTTTGCAGCCTACACTGGGAATGTTTGAATGATGCACTGAATATATTTTTCAGAAAAAACAATGATCTGTGTGATAGCATCTAAAATATAATATATATTATTCTAACTTAGATAAAGTGGGGCCATATTTAAAGGCACATTTATACAAAAATGTAGATAATTCTAAAAGGTTCAATTAGTATTGTTGTTGTACGCCACAGAGATGAGAAACTGTGTTTATTTTTGGGGGGCTAAGGAGTTAAAGATATTCCATTCAGGATCAGTACTCAGGATTCTGGATAGTTTGGTTCAGATAAAACATAAGCTAAAACTGGGATAATAAGCCTATATGATCTTCCACAGCAGAAAAACATGTTTATTGTCGAACATGTGGACCGAGCACAGAGAAACATACACAAGCATATTCTTCCACTGCAGACACTCCCATCCCACTACACTGCCAATCTCCGTCCAGGAATAAAACTCTTCAACATCATAAGTCATTCAACAGGCGTCTATAATCCACTTAAAACATGGGCAATCTTGTTTCAATGTTAGAGGTTTGAAGACAAATCTAATTACTGACCTGCTGCATGTAAATGCAGCTTTACCGTAACCTGGTTACTGCTGTACATGTGAGCATGTTCTCTGACTTCTGTCTGTAACCTAATTTATCCAGATATCCTGGTTTCCTGTTTGTATATAAACAGCCATCCTAGCACAGTACAACTGCCTTTTGTTCCCATAGTCTGCTACAAATCCACCACATCATTTCTGTGAACAAGACAAAACAAAGAAACAAATCCTTGTCAGGCATCATTAAAAAGAAGGCACAAGACTGAGCTGTTTTAGCTTAAAGGCAAGTTAAGCATAACATGGTGGCCATAATGCTAATTCTGATTATGGTGCTGGATGGAGATTGTTAAAGGAAACCTGCCGAGTTTCTGACCACTAGTGGTACAAAGACACAATGTTCTGATGAGCAGGCATCTGCTTTGTTTGTTTGCCTCTATGAGTTTCACACAGTGTTGATGGATTGGTGGCAATGATGCATCAGAGACTGTAGCAATGTGCAAGAAAAACAGTTGACTTCAAGTCAGAAAATATTAATGCAAACGATGCAAATTTAAAATTTAGAAAAGAAAAAAAAAATCACCTCTGCAGTTTTATGGTGTTTTATGAGGTAACATGTGGATTCAACAATGGTTTCTGGTGAGAAACACTGAACATAAACAAGGTATCAGTGGGAATTCTGGACTTAAGATACTTAAGATGATTACCACTTTATTAGTCTGACTCAGGCTACTGAAGCCTCCTAAAAATCCAATTTAAAGTTAGGAAAACCTCCTTAGACATTATTTATTTAGAGTTTAACTCGAAAACTCGGCTAATCTACTTCATCAGGACTGTGTGGGTGCAGTTTGATCAAATTGGACAAACAGTAGTCTGGGAATAAAAGCAATCAACCCAACCAACTGCTATCGCATTCTTATTGTGCTCCTGATTGGTGAATTATAATATGAAACAGAATGTTTTTAGAAATTGCCTGCTTCAAACCACTCAGAGGAACGCTGCCATATTTGATCAAAACTCTCTCTCTCTTACATTTGTTGCACCTCCATCTGGTCTCCACGGTAACAAGATCGGAGGATGGTCTGCCGCTCAGCGTCCCACATGTGCTCCCTGAGGAAGTCGCCTGCCTGCACCGCTCTCTCCAGTAAGGCCTTGTCCCCCAGCACGGCTCCAACCCGAGCGTAGGCCGACAGCATCAAGCCTGACAAAGAGGAAGCAGTAGTGATGACACAGGTGGTGGCTCGATATAATATATTACACATAATATAGCTAATCTTGAAACTTTGTGTTCTTTCTCTCCAATGTGTATCCACACCACAGTCCCAGATTAGTTATTATTCCCACACTTTGAAGTTTCCCTTTTCTCTTCCAATTCCTTCTCTCCACCCTCTCTACATCCATCCGTTCCTCCCTCTATCCCCTCCACTCCTCTTTCATGTAGTGTATCAAAGCCTAGTGAGAGCACAGCCCGGTCTTCAAAGTGTTGCAGCGGAGGACAGGTGATTAATGGAGAGGTTTCTTCATTAGAGAGCAGAAAGAGAGTCTTGCGTCTAATTGGAAAGTTCTCGGGATCGCACAGCCTCATTACCTCACTAACACACTCTGTCGTGAGACGTTCGCGCTGGGAGCCGAGTTTGTGCGTGCACGTATGTGTTTATGCACGTGTGCGCTCTCGTAATTAATCACATCTGAGACAATGTGCTGGACAAACAGTGTTAAGGAGTGTCCAAATTGGCATCATACTAATTCAGAATGACAACAAGTGACTACAATACTCTACACACATTGTGATTCTCTCCTGTAGACAATAAATACGTGCAATACTAATGATAATAATAGAGAAAAAAAGCACCTGACATCCATCAGTTTGCTATTAATCAACTGATATAATGTGGTTGGCTTGCTTTGAAGGCATAGAGGCAAAGCTGGATAATCAGCAGCAGGCAGCTACGAAGGCAACTGAACCAGAATGGAACAAAACATGTTACAATTTTGGGAGGTTTATTACACGTTCAGTGACACATTCAGGTCAAAAACTTCTCTCTTTGGAGTATAGAGCATTTTCATACTTGTTGAAAAAGTTTGAAGTAAATAACTCAGTCAAATGTATTTTAATTATGTTTATGGCTTCCTTCCAATGTTCAGACACGGAAAATATTTAGAGACGAAAAATACACATAACAGCAATGTCCAAACTTTCCTTCTCCACTTCAACTGAGCAGAATTGTGATTCAGTTATGACACAATTAGGACAAAATTAGACGTACTACGCATCTTGGAAGTGTCACTCATGTTGTAAACAAATCGCAGCACGCTGGATGGAAAACAGCGGCCACCAACATCCTAAAAACCCTCTCGACCGTTTTTAGGCTATTGTTCTGACTGGTGCGTTTTATGCTGTCATCCTCGCTACGGCTGTCAATGTTGTAATGTGTGGGGTTAGTTCGGGGTGCACATTTGAAAGTAGTAATTTATCAACATCTTTCAGGATGTTGTCGTAGTTATGTTTATGCATAAACTTAAGAAAATTCTGTGTTTTAATTTCAGAAACCAAACATTACTTTGTATCTGTGCAGCAAATAACAGCTGGAATCATATTAATGTCACTTTCCCCCCAGAATAAATAAGCTGAATATCATTTGGTGACTCTAATGGAAGCTCTACAGCTGTCAGTGAAGATTATCAAGCTAGTCTTATAGAGAAACAGGATGCAGAGGGTTGAGGGTTCAGCCTTTGGCCTTGACGTACAGGTTTTGTATCAAAGCAGTCATATGCACGACCAACCACGTGATCACGAGTTTAACTAAATCTGTTGGGAGAAATGCATTTCAGATCATTAATTAATATGACTCTGCCTCCCTTAAATACACATATGATTGTATGATCTTGTACCCAGACTGCACCTCGTGATAATTAAGCAGTACTATTAGTTAAACAACGGCAGTGTATAGATTTGTTTTCTCAATTGGATGTGAATGACAGCTGCTGACTGATGATGATGCTGACTTTTGAATGTTATTGCCCTGCTTTACATCAAAGTTAAAAAGTTAAAAGTTTAAAAAAAAAACATCTTCCTGTCCTGGCAACTGCAGGAACCCATCTTGTTAGGACACACAAACCTGGGGATATTTGAATGGTAGGAGATGAAAGAGTCGCAAAGCTTCAGTGTAAACTTCTAAGTCTAAACTTTACCATTCCAGGAGGCCAGCATCTTGGTGTCCAGATGTGGGCGTGGCCGGCTCTTCCTCACTTCTGCCATTCTGGCTCTGGCGGAGGCCAGGAGCTCATTGACTTTCTCGACACTGATGCCAAAGTGAGCAGCTGTTAACTCGACTGAATAACGCACGATCAGCACATTCTGGCCCTGCAGCTCCCCGTGGGGGTCCTGGCAACACACAGTACAGAGAATAAGAGGGTGTTCACAGAAACTGACCCACACAGACTGCAACAGATGCAATGTTAATGCCTTAATAGAAAGCCTTTAACACAATAAAGGCCTGTCTGAATGAAATATAACAAGTATTTACCATTTAGCACGTTCATTCATGTTTTATTAATACGTTTTATTCATGTGACATTTTAATTAATCTGTCACGAGTCTTACTTTCATTTAAAACTATAATCAAAGCGAGAGTTACTCAAGCTACATGTGGCATAATACACAATAAAAAAAATTACCTGTTCTGGAGTAACATTGCCTTGCTCCTTAACCCCATAATGGTGCATAAAGATGTCTGCCTGCGTGGCAGCTCCAGTGGCGCCTTCCACCACATCTGGCAAGAGCTCCCGAACTTCTGAGGCCGTCCACACACAGAAAGCCCCCTCTCGCTTCTCTGCTCCCCCTGATGCTGGGACAGAGTCTGCATCCTCTGCGCTGTAGAAGCCGCCAGACTGTTTCAATGGAAATGGTAGGGGTGGAAAAGAGAGAGAGAGCGTTCTGTTTAATGTCAAGATGATCAGAGATAAAACACAGTATCATTAAGAGGTGTGTGCAGAATGCACATCAGCCTTTAGTGACATTACACAGTCTGTGCACATATGATGATAAGCACCTTTCTGAAAAGCTGTAAACGTTTGGAAAAGATATATACAGCAGGAAAGGTCAAGTTCACTTTTTACAAGTCAAGCTTTAATCTTCAACTAATCTTGATTAAATGCTGTAAAGACTTGTAGCGGTACACTTGGCTAGTCGGAAAACAGGGTGCCTTGCTATTTTTGTTATTCCTGAAAAAAAGACTGGAACATGTTAGCTTCCTTTATTTATTGGCTAATAATTGCCTACATGTCTCGAAAGTATAATATACACAATGACTGTAGGATCATTTTAACCCCACTGATATAAGTTCATCAAAACATTTTTAAAAATCACCAAAATTCAAAACTGTTGCAGGACAATGACGTCCTAATTCTTCACTACTGATCAAACAGCTCACAGGAAACAGGTAACGGGACACTCCAACAATTTAGTCTTTTCCATAAAGCAGTATTTCTCCAAAGTTGGGGAAGTTTCCAGGACAGTTTAAATAAAGTCGATGCAGCAAAGGCCAAATTATTCCAACTTGTAGTTCACAGATGAGCCAATCTCTAAAATCCTGCATTTCCGATAACGTAACTCAACTTTATCTTTTATTTGAGCCTACATGACTGATGAACGCCTAAGGCCGGGCTCACACTACAAGAGCTTACAAATCCCAACAGATTTGGAAATCGGGTTGCATCACATCGCATATGAGAAGAGACTTCACAGACATTGTTCTCTCTCTTCTTGCGACACGCACACACTACAAGAATTGAAAATAATGGTGCATCACACACTAAAGGCTGTTAAGAAGATTATCAGGCCAGAGGGAGTAATCAGGAAACAGTGTGCCACCTCATGTGGCCTCATGGGATGTAAACAAAATGGAGACTGTGGGGCAACAACTTGCTGTAACATTAATAATACTTCAGCAATAATACTTGCAGTGAAAACAACAAGCCTGGATGAGAAAATGGCTGGGAAGATGTGGTCAACACATGTTGTCTTTCCTTAAACTGAGATTTTCACTGTCAGTTTTAAGATATGAAGCTAACATTAGCCTAAATGACTACAGGACTAAAGGACTTTTCAGAGTGATTTTTGGTCACACACTCGTCTGCATTGCATGTGCTGCAGTAACAGAGTGCAGACTAGAGGCTTCTCTGTGCACAGTCATCTAGTTAGCGTCTACTGTGGCCTGTATGTGAGCCATTTAGGGAGCACTGGTGAATACTAGTGTTGATTGATAAGCAGATATTATGCTCACATTTTGGGTACAATTTATCTATATATTGCTCCTGGGAGAATTCAGAAGAAAAAGAACCTTATTTTAAGTCTCATTTTGCACATTATCAGGAATGTTGTGTAGGAAGAAGTGCTCCATTTATTCAAATGTAAATGCGAAATAAAAATAATGATCAATGCTGAGCAAAATAATCTGAAATAGCTTCTTTGGCCATAATCGTGCAGTCCTCTATGCTTTACAATGCATGATGTCTGTTACAATATGAAGGGCACAGTGAATTGAATGATTAACTCGTGATGTATACCTTGTTACATGCTAAGTGTCAACGAATGTGATTTGGGATGACGAGTTAGCCCCACCCATCATAAAAAAAAACACATTTGACCGTGAAATCATCATCATCACCATCATCATCATCATCACCAGTGCTCAACGCGAGCATGGCAGTCCACATAAGTTTTGTTGAGGCATCTACCCAGGAAGCTGTCCCAGTTTGAGGGCCTCAGCAGCTATTCATCTGGCTTGTCTCTCTTCCTCAGCCTTCCTCCTGTTTCTTTGAAAGGACCTCACACCATCACAAACCATTCTCCTCCATACTAGTCTGTCTAACGGGGCTGTAGCCCAGGTACCAATCTCGCAGTCTTTGAAGGTCCTTTTGTGGGCATCCTTAAATCTCTCCCTAGGAGCATCAACGCCTCTGGTTCCTGAGGACAGCTGGCTAAAGAGAAGCTGTTTAGGTAGACAAAGTAACTAATCATGTGCCCTTCTGATCGTAGTCTGTTTCGATGTAACGTAGCTCCGATGCTTGTCACAGAGCACCGGTCAACAACCTCAGCATTGGTAACACGATCAAACCATTTTATATTCAAGATTGTCCGTAGATATCGTTGATGAAACTTCTCTTGACCATGAAATAACAGTATGATCATAGGAGGTGTGTGTAAAAATGTGAAAACTACAGAAGGTGGCTGAGGTCTGCAGCAATTTGTTAATTTAACTCTTATCCTCCTCATCCTGAATTAATAATGTGGCTAGGGGAGATGTTTGTGGAGTCCTCTGCCGTTCATTAGTTCCATACAGCTCTGTGTTGGATTGCGAGATTCGCTGAGCCATGCTTTCTTTTAAACAATCTAGTCATCACATTGAATGGTTTTGCTTTTGATCCTTCTAGTAACTGCACCATAGCCACATGTTCTGTTGTGGATGGTCATATAGCAGAAGATAAAGATGCTTTAACTGTCTTTCTCTGTGATGTTAAAGTCTGCACAGTCAAGCTGAAATAACCCCGATGATAACATCTGGCTTATCTGTTCAGACTTTACAAAGTTTTCTTCAGAACCCGAAAATACATTAGAATTTGTAGAGGATGAGTAGTAGTGACAAGTCAGCTGAATTTTGAATGACAAAAGTGATTGCATTTATGTAAGCCCAGAAAGAGAGAGAGAGCGCCAACATAACTGTCTTTTCAAGTATTTATATGACAAATGTGACAATAATCAATTAATTAACACCTCTCAAGTCATCAGTTGTAACAGTGTCATGTAAGCGCTCTCTTAGGACTTGTTCACAGCAGAACAGCCTTTTTACAGTTGAGAGCTCGGGGAGTGTACCTCGCCAAGCGATGATCCCACCCATTGTATCACAAAAAAAAAGCACTGAGTCTGTAGAAAATTACTATTGCTGCGTTAATTCATTAGCCTGTAATTACGTAATAAATCTTAGAGAATATAATGATTAGAGCGAGTGCGGTTTTAATTGTGTGCCCCATTCGCTGCTGTCTCCTCATTAATCAAAAGGAAAAAAAGGCTTGACCCATAGAGGGGAGCAGGAGTTTAAGAGGCTATTTGTCAGCGGGGTCCCACCCCTTGCCCTCGAGGATGTATGAACACTGCATGCACACAAGTGCACGCTTACCATTTCCCAGTGGGATGTATGTTTGCACTTTATCAGCAGCAGAAACAGATTTTGTGACAACAGCCCACAGTGTGTTGCTCTAAGCCTTATCCTCACTTCCATTCTGTATCTTCGTAAACTCCTTGCTTTAGGTTATTTCCATTGCTTAGGTGAACCTAGTGGTAACACATGGTCCTGTTAAGACTCCTACATGCACAATTAGGCACACAGAAATACCATTAACAAGGCTGGAGATGATTCACCTTGTCACTCAGGTCTCTGGAGACGTAGAGCAGTATGTCCTTAGCCACATCTGCAAAAACCTGCTCACCTGATACCTGGAATACAGACAACACACATCCTTAAGAGTCATGATTTAACCTTAACATAACCTTATAGATAACATCATGTGATTTATATGCAGGATACTTCCTGCAGCATCCGATGAGAATGCTGTAGTACCCTCTACATCTTCATGAAACATGGGCATGCATGTGTGTCTGTATTTGAGTTCGCCTGCATGTTCGTGTCCTAATTAGGTTTTTGTTTTGCAATCTCTCTCCATATTAAAAAAAAACAGAGAGAGGAAAAAGCCAGCTCAGCATGCACTCATGAGAAAACTAAAAACTATGGCATTCAGATTCCAATGGGTTTTTTTTGTTGTTTTTTTTTGCTGCATGTAAATTCAACGCTGCCCAGTGCATTGGGAAGAGAATAAAACAGTTTGAGGAAAGAAAAACAAACCGTGCAAACTACCCCATCCTAATGTGTGTGAAATAGCACTTTAATTGTCACTGGGAGTGTTTGTATTCAGTCTAAAACAAAACAAATGTTTGCCAAGTCTCATGCTGAAGATTTATGGTTGGCTGAGTAATATGGCGATAAATTATGTAGATGAGAGAGAAACAGAAAGATGGAGGCTAATTACCTTGTCAGATACACAACGAGGAACACACACACACACACAACAGGCCACAATCACAGAGACAATCGCACACACCTGGGAAGCTGTTATGTAGGCTACGGCCAGCTGAGCCTGGTCGTACAGCATCTTTTCAAAGTGAGGAACATGCCAGGAGGAATCTGTCGAGTAACGATGAAAACCCTGAGAAAGACAATAAAAGGGATACTGTATGAACTGCCTGGTACTGATGATCAGTTAAAGTCATCTACATTCCAACTGCCAAAGCCCCATTGCTCTGGCAACACGTGCTTATCATGTCATGCAGCTTAAGCACATCTGACCTGAACTGCAAGAACAGAACACAAAACGTAACAACGTTCATACAGAAAGGCATTTAAATGTGTTAACTGTAAACAAACTATGGCTGCAAATAACTATTATTTTCATTGTCACTTCATCTTAAGATGATTGTCTTTATTGACTGCATAATGATTTAGTCAACAAAGCGCCAAAACACTGAAAATTGCCCAAGAGGCATTAGGAGATAATAGTGTCTCCAAATTGCTAGTTTTATCTGACCGACAGTCGACAACTTCAAAAGTGTTAGTTAAGTAAGACATATGATGAGCTTCCCTAAAATTGGAAAAGTTGGAGTTTTGAATGTTGGGCTTTCATAAATAAAAAGATGCTAGAAATGAGTATCAAGAATGCTGTGACCAAAGGATTTTACTTTTGTCTTTAGTTTTCAATTAGACCAACTAATAGCTGCAGGTCACTTTAGAGCATTTACAAACTATGCACCGTTGAATGTTCTGACAACTGTCGCTGGATTGTTGTTGTTTTTTTTACTTAAAAAATGACCAGTTTGGTTTGCAGAGTGAATCGTTTTGCATCAATCACCTAATCGCTGTCTATGCTCTCTTGTAGATCTGACCTGGGGTTGTGTTTGAAGACATAATTTTATTGTTTCTTTTTGAAATTTTAGCACAGGCTGTATGTAAAAGATGGACGTAGCCTCTGGGTACGAAAAGTGAAGTCAAAGCAGAAGCAACTAAAACCTGCCTTCTTCCTAATGACCAGAAGGAGGCGACTCTTCTGGTTCTGAAAAGAAGTCTGATTGTAAAGAGGTCTAATGGAAAATGACCCTTCACATTTGTTAACGTGATAAAATTGTTCCTAATGAGGTTATGGTGTTATGATTGCTAGTTTCAAGTCTCCTTCAATACAGCATGAGCATTATAAATTATGGTCCCGCTGTCAGTAAAATAGACAATAAAGCAGGACATGTTTAAAGGCAGGGCTACCTTGTGGTTGCAACCGTATCACCCTGCATAGTGTCCTTGAGTTCTCACTCAGATCCACTCTTTGCTCGTTATGTCCAGTTTTCAAGGACTAAGATAGTGACGGCTGAATTCCAGACTTAAGGCCTCTAAACAGTAGTCAACAAGTGACACTGGGTGACGTCAAGGTCGTCCATCTTTTACATACAGTCTATAGTTTTCTCACTTTATGTTCAATCTGCTGTTAACCTCCTGCTTTTATTTCACATTTGCTCGGTTTTTCCAGCTGTAAAGTCAAGCCTCGTTAAAATTCTGCGAGTAATATTTTATCAACATTTGTAAACATTCCCACCCCTCGTATGAACCTGTGCCACGTGGTCGTGGATGCCTCCCAGTGCCATCATACGGAGTGTGTGCAAGGCCATCTGGAGAGCTTCAACCCCTTCTGAGGTGGAGCGATTCACCGACCAATAAGACATGAGGAACATCAGATTCACTACAGAGGGAAAGCAAGAGAGAAAGAAAGAGAGCAATGAAGAGAAAGTGTGTCGGATGAAAAGTATGTAAATGGTCCATTAACACTGAAATCCACTGAGATGACCACTCCTGGCTCCAGTGCCTACCTGGTGTAGGGAACTTTGGAGCATCTCTAAAGCCTCCGTACTCCTCCTCATAAGAATTGGCCAACTGCTGGAAGCAGCGATTAGCGACATCTGGGGCCAGTGGAGGACTTTCTCCTGGGTTTGCAGTAATGGCTGTGCCTTTCTTCAGGGCTTCAAGGATCCTGTCCCCACTGGACTCCAAAGTAGTGCGATTATTCTGCCACTGAGTCACATAAGTCACACTTGTCGGTATTTATACACATCCATGCTACAGAGACGGCACACAAGAGTTAATATATACAAAACTGAAATCCTGAGAAGTCTGAAAGTCATATAAGTCAACAAGAAAGTGCAGAATTTTTTTTAGCATTGTACACATGCATGCCTTTAAGGATTTTCTTTATTCCTAGAGTATCCTAATATTAACTAATTATTTAAAGAGACTGAACACTTAAGGAGTTTTAGCAAAGTGTTACTACCTGTTCCATGATTCTGGTGAGAACAGTCTTGAACCCAGGTCTTCTTCCATGGTCTCTTGGAGGGAAGTAGGTGCCCCCGACGAAAGGTCGAAGGTCAGGAGTCAACCAGACGCTCATGGGCCAACCTCCACCACCGCTTGTTGCCTGGAGACAGCAGCAACCAAAAGTCAAAAAAATGCATTAACAGAGAAAATATCAGAGGCTTGTGAGTGAAAACCTGCATATAAGCATCCATTTATACACACCTGTACGAAGGTCATGTAGACCTTGTCCACATCAGGTCTTTCTTCTCTGTCTAGTTTGATGCATACAAAGTTCTCACTGAGGATTTGACCAATTTCTTCGTCTTCGAAGGACTCCCGTTCCATAACGTGGCACCAGTGGCATGTCGAATAACCCACTGACAGTCAAGGCGAGACAGATAATTACAGAAAACGAATGCTTCACTTCTGTTACAAGCCGAGCTATAAGCAAGTCCGTAAAAAAGCATGTGACAAGTGAGTGTTTCTGCCTTATGTTATATACTGTCATGTCATAGGAAATGACTTGGTGGGATTTCTCACATTAAACATCCTAGAGTTCAGAGTGAAATGGTCCCAAAATTAAATGCTTGTTAACATTTGGATTATTGGCTTCTAACCTGATAAAAAGATGGGTTTGTCTTCAGTCTTTGCCTTGTCAAAAGCATCTTGTCCCCATGGATACCTGAAAAAACACAACATGAGGCTATGTGACATCAGCTTTAAAGTGCAAACTGGTGAAAATTAAAGGAAAAACATTTTGCAGCCATAGTTTGGGTCCACTTGTCCCAATAGAGGGAGGAGTCACTCCAAATCAGTAAAAGAGTTGTTCTGAATGACAACCTTTATGCTGTGATGAAACATTTCTGTCCTGATGGAGGTGAACTCTTTGAGGATGACGACTCGTGTAGTCACAGGACAGGAGGGGTTATTGAATGGGTTGATGAACATTAACTGAATCACATGCTATGGCCTTAACATTCACCTAACCTCAACTCAATTAAACATCTAAGGGAGATTTTGGACCAACATGTTGGACAGCGCTCTACACCACCAACATCAAAACACCAAATGAGGGACCATCCTCTGGGATAACGGTGTTCCATCACTGCAAAGTGAATTGTAGAATCAATGCTGCTCCGGCTGCACGTGGCAGACTAACACTGTACTATAACACTTAACATTATTTTTTTCCTTTTGTCACCCATCTGTAAGCAGCAAGTAGCAGTTTAAAAGGCACTCACCAGTCAACAGGGTTGTGTGCATGTTGCAGCAGGTAGGGCGACCGCTCCTTGGCTAACCTGTTGGTGTGTTTGTGAGGAGTGGACGATGGCCCTTCGCCTCCTGATGCCATGCTCATGAAGACGGATGGACTGCATACACAGCAGAACACAGTCACAGAGTTAGTCGGTTTGTTGGTACAAATGCAAACCTAACTTGTGAGCCTTCAACTGGTCCAAATGTTGCTGGGTTGTTTGTTTTTTATTTCATCATCTAAAGTCTTTAATAAATGGACTGCCTTGACTGAAAAAGACAAATAACCATGGTGCTCCTGTGTTATCCCTTTCTATCAATAATCATGGCTAATTAGGGAATATGATATCTAATATGAAAACAGTACTTAGCTGTGGTTACACACGCCTGCTGTTGTTACTGCATGGTATATTAACAGCACGTATTGCAAAATAGATGTGATGTTAACGAGTAACCCTAATGGTTAACTTTCTTGGTTGCAACACATTACTGGATGCCTGCAAATAAAACGGCATGTGTTCACGCTGTCAGCTTACTGACTCTGTAGTCGCTTGTTCAGCAGCTTCGTATTACAGCTGCAGTAGCTGTCAAGCACTGTGACTGTTAGCTAACTGCCTGTCATGTCGAAACGCCTTCCAATAGTACCTACTTTACTGTGACTTTGTTTACAAGCAAAGATTCATGCCTGGGAAATAATCACTGAACAGTTTCCGAAACACGAGGCATTCTCTTTCAATTCGGCTGAAACGGCTTTGATATATAAGTTACACATGTATTCATTATCGACAAGGACAATGCTAAAGTTTACTGTTAGCAGAGAGCGGTAACGCAGTTATCAGTGAAACCAGTCCTAAATAGTGGAAGTGAGCGTTTCTTGGTAGCTTGGGCAGTTATACCGAATTGAAATACATAACATGTCAGTCTTGTTTAAATACTTGTACTCGATGTGGCATCTCTTGTCGCAGTGGTTAACGTTAGAGACTTTAAAAATGTATGGTTTTGTATTGGACTCTGGAACACCTGGTTCAAAAGCACGCTCATATTGTTCACTGCTATCACGCGGCGAGCAACACGGCACATATCAAATTAAACCTTCTGTGAATTTCGCTTGTAAGTCAGGTTTGCTTGCTGTAACGTGTCAAAGTAGCGTTAACACACAGCTAGCTGTAGCTAACTATTAGCCGCGGTGGCTTTACCTGAGACAGCAGGCCGGCCTGGGATGGAGGAGCGAGGACCTGTCGCTGGGTGGGTGGGGAATGTGTCTCAAACACCTAATGTTGCCCTCAGAGCTCTGCTGTGGACTGCTCGCTCCCAGGAAAGCTGCAGTCAAAAGGCGTGCAGGCTCCGCGCAGCTATTTCTGGACGTCGACCGACGCCATGCCAGTCTTAACATCCTAATCCAGTGATTGAGTTACTTTAGCAAGCTAACGTTAGCTACTTTGTTGGCACAGAAACTTTCAGGCGAACACGTTTTTGTAATACCGCCTATGGACACACGGTGGCGCGCTAACAGGACAGGAGCTCACCTACACAGGTGGGTTCCTT